GGGGTGCGGGACGCGCACAGATCCTCGACCTCGCGGCTGCCGGGAACGCCCTGATCGGAATGCCACGTCGAGAGGCGGCGGCGGGGAGTGTGGAGGGGGCCGCTGGCCCTGGCCCTGGGCCAACCGCCTTGGTTTGCCCGCTAGGATTGTTTTAAGAAAATGGCAGACAAGCCGGACATGGGGGAAATCGCCAGCTTCGATAAGGCCAAGCTGAAGAAGACGGAGACGCAGGAGAAGAACACCCTGCCGACCAAAGAGAGTGAGTGCGCCCCCGCCTCCGGGTCCGCGGCCCCAGCCCAGCCCCCACCCGGCCCTTCCCGTTAACCCAGCCCCCCACTCCCATCCGGCCGGTGCCTCCCATCGAGCGGCCCCAGTCCCCCTTTCTGTTACACAAAGCGCTGTTTCTCCACAGCCCCAAACCCCTTTCTTGAATCCCCAGACCGCGTGGGTGCCTCGCCCACACCAGGTTTTAAGCGCCTCGGTGGGGGGGTTGCAAGGGGTCCCCATCCCCCAGTGCCCGCTTCCTGCTCTCTACAGCCATTGAGCAGGAGAAGCAAGCGAAGTGAAATTTCCTAAGCACCTGGAGGATTCTCCACCCCCATCATCCTGGAGACCCTAGTCGTGATGTGGGTGAAGAGCCACCTGCAAGATGGACACGAGCGACAAGCTGCACTGTGAACCCGGGCGCTCCGTGCCGGCGCCACCGGCCCGCGGGTCTCTGAGGGGACCCTCCAATCGGACTGCCAAATTCTCCGGTTTGCCCTGGGATATTATAGAAAATTATTTGTATGATTAATGAAAATAAAACACACCTTGTGGCATGGCTGGCGTGGTCTGAGTCTCTTAGTTGAGTATGCGTGGGAAGTGTCGCTGCAGCAAAGCCCCACGCGCCGGACTTCCTGCCGCAGAGCGGGGGAGGGGGTCTCGGGGTGGGCGGGCTGGGAGGGACCACCTTTTAATTTTGACTTTATCTGCTTCTCCGTAGGATTTCATGGGTTATTAGCCGCTTACTCTTGCTTGCAATGCAATTTATACAAAATATAACCCCACTTTTCGTTCCTGGAAACTGTTTTGGAAAATACTTTTTCAGAAAAGCAGGATTTGTTTCTGATAAGCTTTTACAGCCCTACTATTTTCCGGCCTCGTAGTTCTGATCCACACGGGGAGAGAACAGCGATTTAAAGCCTTGAGAAGAAAGGGGTGGGGAAAACGGAATTTGGAATGCTGAAAATTGGGCGAGGTCACAAAGTCTCCAGGAGGCTTTCTCTCGAGGAGGCACTGGAACAAGAACAAAGGCGGGATACAGGCAAAGAACACCAAGACCATCGGGACGGGAGGAACCGACACCAGAACTAGCGTTGCTGGGGAGGGGACAGCCCAGGTTTTTGTCTTTTAACCCTGGCTCAGAACCTTCCACAAAAGCGTTAGCCATTAGAGGGAGTGTGGGCTGTGATCGGCAGGAAGGGTGGGAACATGGAGGGAGGGCTGGCGCCGGCGGAGGCAGCAGCAGAGCGCTGCTGGGTCACACCCTCTGGATCCACGGGGAAGTGGGGACTAACCCAGAGGACGGCCTGGGGCTGCCAGGCTTTCTCTAGCACCAAAAAGAGGCTTGTGATTTCCGGGGATGGAATTTCCTTTTAAGGAGGGAGGAGCGGGCACATTGTGTTGTGATTTGTCCCATATCTGCCTGCCTGCCAGGGGCTAGACACTGAGGGCAGGTACTTTGAATGCATTGTGATCCCTGTCCACAGGGACTTCAAGTCCACTGGGTGAGACTGTGACCACAGCAGACTACAGTTGGGGACATTTAGGCTGAAAAAGCCACTGCCCGTTTGGCATGAAGGAGTGGCTTAACAGACCTGTGCTGTGGCGGGTAATTGGGCCTGAGGAGGAGAATAAGGAAGAGAGACATTAGGAGATCACAGCGGCCAGGCACTGTGCTCGGAGCTTTAATTCTCAGAAACTATGAAAGCAGTGTGACTATCATCCCAATTTACAGATGGGAAAACTAAGGTTCAAAGAGACTAGGGATTTGCTAGTCACATAGCCAGTGAGTAGTGGAGCTGGAATTGGGCCAAGGGTGTGCTTTGGGGGAATCCTATAGCCTGATGTTCAGGACATCTGTTGTGTGCAACGTTCCATGAGCATCCACTAATTGAGGCATATTTATAATTGTCTCTGTTGGATCTACCTTCAAATAGCAGCGTAGTATATCTGCTGGTGAGAGGGCTTTGGAAAGAAAGAAAGCTGGTGAGGGTAAGTGTCCTGGGGTGAGAGATGGGAGCACTGTCTTCAATGGGATGATCAAGAAGGGCTCCTGGGAGAAGGAGCCCTGGAGCAAAGACTTAAGGGCTGAGAGGAGGAGAGTGGAGGGATAAGTTGAGCCTGTTTCTGGGGGAGGAACAGCAAGTGCATTCTTACTGCAAGGTCGGAAAGAGCTGGGGCCTCTGAGGGACAACAAAAAGCTGGCCTGGAGTGAGCACGGTGAAGGGAGCTGAGGTGGGAGCGGCCAGGAGGTGCAGGAGGCAGATGGTGAGGTCCTAGGTCTGTTGCAAGGTTGGCTGCTGAGGGGTTCCCCCTCCCCTATCCCAAGGCGCCCCCAGGCACCCCTCCTGGGGATAAAGTACCTGTCTGGACACAACCACACCTACGGCCTCTTCTGGACCAAGCTGCTCTCCAGGTCATCTGGGAAGTGAAGACCAGGTCTTCTCCCTTCAGGTCCCACAGACCCCTCGTGGCCAGTGGGCGCGCCCAGGACTAAAGCCCCAGAGTCCCGCTTCGCTTCCGGGGTCCTCTCCCTCTCAGAAGATGCCCATGACTTTCTCGCCCCTTCCCCAGGAAATCCTTTGTATTCTGAGGTGGTAGGGCGCCCATGTGAGCCTTGCTCTTCCTAGGAATTTAAGGACAAAACTCAGGAGGAGACTGAAGGGCACTTTTGCTCTTCCACTCTGAGACAATGAGCTATTGGATGGGGCCCGGCCAAGGTGGGGAAAGGAGGGGTGGAGAGGCGAGGGGACTGAGTTATCACATCAGAAATCTTACCACACCACATGGTTTACAAGGTAAGGCTGGTCTTCCTCAAACCGTCCCGGCTCCTGAGCTGCTTAAGGGCACACACATGTGGACACCCCTCAGCCTGAATGGTAAAACCCCCAGAAGACAGGCCCGAAAGGCCAAGCACTGGCCAAGAGGCCCACCTTCCTAGGCCCCACCTCTCCCCATGGTTGATCCCAGCGGATTTCGCGGGCATCACAGTGGAGTCAGCACGAGAACCCGGAGCTGGAGGGTCAGAGAGCATGGAAGCATCTCAGGCCCCCCCTTTCCCCTCCCCTCCTCCCTCCCTTACCCCTCCCCCCACCGCTATCTCTACGCTGTGCCACCGGGGAACGCTGACACCCTCAGGAGAATTATCCTGAATTTCTGGTTTCTGCCCTTTTCCTCCTAAGAACTCAGGAAACAATGATAAGCCCAGCCACCAAATGAGGCTTGCGCTGAAGCTGAAATAGAATGGTCATGTTTCTTTTTAAACACACCTGAATTTCTAGTTTCACTTTCTTATTTCATTCCTAAGACAAGCTTTAAAAATCAGGCCTCCAGGTTATGAAGAGGGCTCAGGGCTTGGGACTTTTCACTGACTTTCCTTCTTTCTTTTTAAATTTTTTATTGGTGTGTAGTTGATTTACCATGTTAGTTTCAGGTGTACAGCAAAGCGATTCAGTTACACATATCATACCTAGTTATTTTTTTCAGATTCTTTTCCATTACTCATTACAAGAAATGGAATCTAGTTCCCTGGGCTGTGCAGTAGCTCCTCGTTGTTACCTAGTTTATATACAGTCATGTGTGTCTTTTAATCCCCAACCCCTAATTTATCCCTCCCCGCCCTTTCCCTTTGGTAACTATAGTTTGTTTTCTACGTTGTGAGTCTGTTTTTTGATTTGTTAATAGAATTTGTGTCATTTTTTTAGATTCCACAGATGAGTGATATATGATATTTGTCTTTCTCTGTCTGATTTACTTCATTCAATATGATAATCTCTAGGTCCGTCCTAGAGATTGCTGCAAATGGCATTATTTCATTCATTTCTTGTGGCTGAGTAATATTCCATTATACATATGGAATATATATGTATGTGTATGTGTGTGTGTATATATATGTGTGTGTATATGTGTATATATATATATATACACACACACACACACACCACATCTTCTTTATCCAGTCAACTGTCGATGGACATTTAGGTTGTTTCCTTGTCCCAGCTATTGTAAATAGTGCTGCTATGAACATCGGGGTGCAGGTGTCTTTTCGAATTAGAGTTTTCTCTAGATTTATGCCCAGGAGTGGGATTGCTAGACCATATGTTAAGTCTATTTTTAGTTTTTTAAGGAACCTCCAGACTGTCCTCCATCATGGCTCCTTCTCTGTCTTTCTTAGGGTGCACCCGGGGCTCAGGACGACAGAAGAACCCCATTCCCACACTCCACCCCCGAATCAAGAAGCAGGTGTGCCGAGTGCCTGGTGTGTACCCCGTGCTGCTCAAGGTGCCGGCAAAACAGAGGGAGGCCACCCCAGGGAGCAGCTGGGCTAGATCAGAAGGAAGACCCAACCTGTCTTCCCAACAATTCCCAACCCCCCAGGTCGCTCTCCCACCCTCTTCTCTGACCCTCAGGCGAACCCTTCCCCTCCTCGGGCAGTATCATGTGCCTGGGTTCCCACCTTCTCCTGTCATTTCCCTTGAACGGGGAACACCCTCCCGTGTTGCTCCTGTCTGTTCTCCCTGCAGTCCCCAACCAGACGTGCAGGGGAAACTCCTCTGTTTCTCCTGTCTCCAGCTGGGTGTCCTCTGGTTCCATTCGGTTCTGACACTGTCCGCCTGGAGTTAGCATCAGAGCCCACAGGTTAAGGGCTCGGTTCCACAAAAGCGCCCCCTCCCCACACCTCAGACGCCAGGGGCCCGTCCATCCTGACAGAGGGCAGAAGTGGAGCCCGGCCGCCCTCTGACCCAGCGACCACAGGCCTCGCGGTCCATTCCAGAGAAACGAGGGCATGCGTGTATTTGATGTATTCACATGCTTAACCACTGAGTTACTCCACAGCAGCCACAAAGGAGCCCAGCGCTGGTGTCCGATGTTGTGTGATTCCATTCAGATGACGTTCTAGAAAAGGCAAAAGTAATTTTTGATGATAAAAGTCAACAAAACCTCGTGGGGGGAGAAAAACATATACCTT